TCGTGGCCGTCTGCTGAGTTTCTATTATATCGCATCAATCTAGACCCATGGTACTCTGTCAACAAGAGAGACTAGCCATGAAGGCTTCCCGGTGGGCGACCGAGGAAGCGGGAGTTACACGATAAGGTTTGGCTGTATAAGCCCTGAAAACAACGCTGATTGGCTGAATTTTCTAGTATCTAACTCTATGCAGTTCCAAATTCCTTGATTCCACAATAGCTGGGCCCGCAGTTAGAAACTTCATCTAAGTTCCATGCCCGGGTTCTCAATGAACCCGTTTCTCAAACCGGGCGTGACAGTCTTCCTTTTCTAATTAGTTGACGATGAAAGCGATGATATTGCGGTATCTTTGTGGTACTGGAAACTTGAATATCTATACTTCCAGCATCATTTCTGCGGCCTGCAGAGCGATAAGGGATTCTATCTAGGATTTAACTGACTTTTGGACTTAGCTGCTTATTAGGTGAGTAAGGAAGTTAAGAATATATACTCGTGTTTTCTGGTTAGAAATAGTGTCTGTTACGTGCTAAGAGGACAGTTCGGTATATTCAACGAGGGTGTTAAGACTAGAGAACAGAAAGAGGAATACTAGGCTACTCGTTATAGTCTGCTTAAGATAGAGTAAGATTGGCTAGATTAATTTATCTAGTATATACCGGAAGGGGAAGCAGATGCTTCTATATTTGAAATTTAGTTTCGATACTCTTGTGTCCCCCCAGATACCTAGCTATAGATAACTATCTTTGTACCAAGATCCCTACCACTATAATACAGTACTACTATAGTTACTTAAACGAAAGATATAGTCGATAAATACTAGGCCTCGATTTCTGCGATAATACTAGGAATATCCTCCTAACCTCGTGCGATCGTCGTTACTATACGGCTATACGACTGTGAAATAGTAATCCTGATTAAGAATACCCTATAGGCTTAGTTAAGTTCGAAATTAGAGGGAGGACAAGGTACCTATATATAAGAGAGAGTAGGTACGGATTGACCTAGTTATAGTAGGCTTTTATATGATTCTCTATTAGTTATGAGATATATATAAACCTTAGAAAATATACTTATATACGACGATAAGCTTTAGGTTACCTATTCTTAGGTCCGTTCGAATCTCTTAGGCTACCTAGTATTATTATAGTATCGGCCCCTCTAGAGAAATAAGGGACCCTCCCCGGAGTATATAACGGGTTATTACTGTAATATACCTAGGCTAATATTAGGTAATTTCGTGTTAGCTATATTAATAACTTATAGCGGCTCTCTCTGCGGTAAAGATAATAGCTATTTAATATAAAAATCGGAAGTTAAGTCCGCTAAATCCTTAAGCGAACTCGGGGTTACTTCTATAATTTACCTAATTATTATTGCTAATAAAATCGGGCGTGAGTAAGCTATTCCGAACACGATAAAAATAAAGATGATACTAGGCTATAGTATATTCTTTAAGGCTTTATAATAGGACCGGAGACTTTTACCTTTCTCGCGACTCTTAAAGGTCTTATCCAGAGGTATATTTCGGCCCGTCTATTAATCCTAGAAAGCGTCAAGGATCTTAGTAAGTATCTTCTGATAAACTAGTGAATTCCGAAGATAATTAATATTCCGTACCTCGATCTCTAAGCTAACTCTCGTGTAATTTTTAAGTAACTTTCTACGTAGTAAATAGCTAAGAAGTATAACCTTGTCTTCGTCTGGTTAGCCTTTAGGATCTAGTTAGTAATAACCGTTATACCCTTTTTTAATAAGCACCGAGGATTCATTAATTTTACACCTCCTAGCCACTATACTAGCCTTAGGCCAGAGTAGTTTAATTCTAGCTTAAATAATCCAATCTAGCTATATACCAAATCTCCGTAGATATCGTAAGTGAAATGGCTAAGCTAATCTTCGTAGGATTCGGCTCGAGAGGGTTGATTATATTAAAACGAAGGATAGCTTATCTCGGATATACTAAGTAACGTTTCCAAAGTTGCGAACTAAAAATTAATAAGCCTTTCGTTTAAGCACCGGTACTTATATAGCTCTTTATTTATATTACTATTACTTATTTCAATTACTATATAGGCGTGTAACGGAGTACTTTAATCGACTATCCCTTAATAGTACTTATTGCTTCGCTAGTAGTAATATTCGGCCTCCTATTATCCTTAATTAACTTAAGCTAACTACTAACCTTTGTATATAAAGTAGAATAAACAAGGTCGTCTTTATAAGAGGTACCGCGGTTAACATCGTCAGTATATCGATACTAACGGCGTAGGTATTCTCGTAAGTTTTCCTACCGCGTAAATCCGTTCCTAGAACTACGATTACAGTCCGTGTAGGGACAAATAATCGGAGTTATCGCGTTGGTATATTTTTTGTGTACCTTACGCTAATAGCGTAAGAGACCACCGGAATACGTAAAGCCTTGTCCTCTGTTATAGCCTAGCTTATAATATCTATAGGGACGGTCGTACTTATCTATATATTTACTAGGGGAGAGAATAGTTAGCGTTAGAATATAATACAGGAGGATAATAATATAGAGCTACTCATTTCTATTCACAAGGACGCCTAAACGTTAGCGGTATAGGCTAGTAGTCTTGATAGTCGTAGTAAATCTAGTTATCGGCGTTCCTAGGAACGGCCTAGGTATACACACGCTAACGCCTACTGTCTATATTGTTGATGGTTAATTGCTTATTAATTCGGAAGTATTGTGGAAACTACCCCGTTAAAGACAGAATATAGTTATCTAGAGCAGCTTTACTTAAACTTAGAAATCAGGATTAGGATATTTAGGTTATAGGTATACTCAACTTAACTTACGATAGTATAACCGGCCAGACCGGCGAGACGTAAATAGTTAGGATACTTAGATACTTAAGGAGATATAATTAGGACTGATAGTGGTTCTAGACGACGCGGGTAGGTTAAATATATTTATATTTTAGCGACCTCGTACAATATTTATTTAAAGTGAGCTTGACTAGTCTCCTAGTGGTTAATAGGCCTATTTAAAAACGTGAGTTTTGTATTTATCTAAGATAATTCGCGTTTCTCTTACAACTGCATTTGATTAAAGGGATTTAAGCCAAAAGACATATTAGTACAGTAATGCGAAGTATTCCCTCCTTCCTGATTCGCTTTGATAACAGAGCTTCCTAAGGCACGAGTTCTTTGGCCGCACAAATCTTTACATGTAAAGAGAAGAGGTCACTGATAGACTGAGGCTCCCCACGAATCCACGATCCACCACGCACAGTATCTCTGCTGCCATCATGGTACACCACCGAGAACACAATATCAGGTGTGTTAACTGTATTGTGATTGTACAGTATGCCGCAAAAGCATTCGAAATGCCTCACCCTATCCAACAAGGCAATGTCTATTATTTTGGGCTAACAAGTGGTTATTACATACCAAAGGCGTGGGGAGGTGGGAAATAGATAGATTGCACAAACCTACCCTCTGAATGTTGCGCCTGCTACCGGATAGCATCTCGACAAACTTCACAAATAGCGGCCGGTCTTCAAATAATATATCCTAACTGGCGTTATAGCGGGAAGCTTAAGGATATCACTATCCATGCTATTGCTTGGCTGTGAAGACTCTCCGCGAGATCTGCCTTGCGAGGCCGTTGGCTCTGTGGCCCTCCATGGTGAGAGACGAGACTAAACAATCAGATCTGAGAGTAGCTCACCTGAGATAGGTTTAATTTGATAAGTAGCTGAGTCTGCTCTAACTCTCGTTTGGATTGGATTTTTTGTACCGTAGACAGGATCGGGTTCATATACCATGCCCTCAGATCGCGTATGCGAAGTTGTGGTGCTAGGGATCTCTCGATCCAAGTCCTTATTACGGCCTTAGCTCTCGTCTCCACCCCAAAAGGAATCATTATCATCGTGATAGAAACCTAGGGACTGAACGCAGTTAGCAAGGAAGGCCGGAAGAGAGAAAGTAGGTAGATAATCCATAATAGAGGTGTGTCTCTGACGTTAAGAAGGTATTATCAAAGATAGAGGTACCCAGAAGTACGTTAGGATTATTGATATATAGATCTATATAATTCGTAAGTTCAGTATTATTCGTTTCTACAATCTATTAGTCTTATTGAAAAGGATCTGCACAGTCATGGTTAGTCCCTACACTCCACGAGAGAGCTATAGTACTAACTACCAAAGCCCTCTCCGATTCCTGAGGTTATCTTAGTTCCTCCCGCAAAACTGGCCTTAGAGGTCCTGGTTTATTCGAGAATTAGTTCTCTATACTTCTGGACTTAGGTACCCCCAGAGGACCTTAGCCAGGATACTAGATTGTTGCTAGATAAGTATAAGGCTTTGAAATACTTGAAACCGCCTGAACCTATCAACGAAAATATTATCGCCTTAGTGGAGGAGGTGTTGGTCCGTTGGAGCTATAACACTGTTCTCAAGTTAACCCTGACAACTTGGCATTTTGATCCCTGGCATATTAAGAGACCGCCTTCTTCAGCATCGAAGGATTTAATCTCCTTCTTGAGTCAGCCCAATAAAGCCGTGATTGAGATACTACAAGACCGATATAGAAGCATGATGGGCCGGGGCGCTAAGTTGAACGATTCCTTCGATTTTTTGCTGGTCTTGAACTGAGTACGGAATAAGGAGTTTGGCCTGAGCTATGTTTGGGTAACTTATGCTTTCATTATGCAGACTACGTCTCACGTTAATACAAATTTTGTGGGCTTGAAAGGACAACTTGCCTGACCGGTTGCGTTCAAAATTACCACCGATGTGTTGTCATCAATGCGCGCATTTATACCGATTGGTACAAGGCGTAAGCTTCTCGTAGCAACCAAGTACAACGAAGCCGAGAAGGGAGTGCCCTCTTCATTGAAAACCAATTTGTGTAGTACTGTAGACTAGCAGAAAATCCACTTGATATTATGGCTGAATAAATCCGTATTGTTGTAGCGTAGCCTGGCAGTCCGGTTCGTGGTAGTGAACCTAGTTCTTAGTATCCTTGATACTATGGTACGTAAGACATAAGTCGTCCCGCCCTTCACTTTGATTTGGGTGCCTAATGGTGGTCGCCGATCACGTGCTTATTCCCTGATATTAAGATGCTGTTTTCTGGTTTTAGTTTTTTTTTGACGTGTTTTGCCATAAGAATGGTTATATATACTAGGCGGTGGGAGTGGGGCTATAGGCCAGGCTCTAGGCTATATCTCTTATTCCTCTTCTCTTTTTAGTTCCTAATACAAAATTTTCGTGCGATTCTATTACGACCCTGATTTATCGAAGTCAGATCTACCTATCTCGTTCTTTTATCTCTTGTTTCGTTAAGGCTTATAGACCTAATTAAGGCTAGTCGAAAAGTACGTAAGTAGACTTTTTCTCCCGTTAGTAGTAACTAACGTAGGAGCTATCCGAGTCGTGAGTAGGCCTACTATTCTTCTATAAGTAGATAAGGAGTACTCCTTAACCTATAGTAGATATATAGAGTAACTATCTTAGATATACTTTATAGGAAGAAGAAGATAGGGGTTAAGAAAGATTCGGGGTCTATTACGGAACTAGTAAAAGGTATTCTAGACGAAAGAAGATAACGATTTTTATTAAATACTACGATATAGCGTATTATAGAGACGAATATATTCTTAAGCGATATTAAAGAAGCTCTTATAGATAAGAGCCGAATATCTCGAAGTCCTTCCCAGAGAGTATTATTAACCGGTCCCGTAAATAATAGAGGCGAGAGTATAGAAATATAATTTAGACCTAAGTAATCTACTCCCGGATTAGGCTTAGATAGATCTCCTTCTTTCTAACCGATACTATATTTCTCGGAATAATATCCTCTATCTAATTAGAGAATCCTATATAAGCGATAATCTTAATAAGATAGACTAGTAGAAGAGCGATTATAATCTACTAATCCTACTAGGGATAGAATATATCCCTTCGGTTTTATTTAACTAGAATAACCCCTCTTCCTATTTAAAACTAATAAAGACCGCAGAGGAGATTAACTAGGATTCTACTATAATATATTTAGGTCTATAGGCCCGGGTAGGAGAGTTATCTTTTTAGGAGGAGCGAATAAAGATATAGCAGAATATATTTTATACTACTTACTAATATAGTAGGAATATTATAGAATATTAGAGGAGTTATATCTATAAGCCTAGTTAATCGCTTTAAAATATAGACTTTAAGGATTAGCTTGAATATTTATAAATTTAATTAACTATACGAAGAAAAGTAGTTTTAATATCTTAGTAGTAATATTAAAGGAGCGATTTCCTTTTAAGCTATAGTTAGTCTCGCGAAAGGATATATTAAGAAGACTTATAGATCTAAATTAAGGAAAGAGAATATTTAAGGAATATATTAAAGAAGATTGTTAACTAGAATTTCTAGTCTAGGATAAGGATTCTTAGTTACTAGCGGAAAACTAGACTAGAGGATTAAGCGATTAATATATTAGTATAATAATCGTAGGCCTATAGACCTAGTAGGAAAATAATAGAACCTTAACTTTAGATAAGATAATTAGAGTAGCGAAGTTTTATCTAAAAAGGGCTATTATAGTAGACGAAGAGATCCTAAAATCTAAAGACGAGAAGATAATTAAAGTATTAGAGGGATTAAGCTTAGCGGTATTAAATATAAACCGGGCTAGCTCGAATATAATAGCTAATTAGTTATCTAGAGCGGGTACTTCGAAGGCTAATAAGTCTTTATTAGCGGTCGATATAGATACTTATATTACTTACTAGAAGTATAGTTAATAGGGCTACTAAAGCCTAGTATATTATAATAATCCTCTGCTATTAGAAGAGTAGCAGAAAATTCGGATATCTAATATAGTATATAGAGTAGGAAGAGAGGAAATATATAAGCATAAGCTAAAGCTTTCGGAAGTTCTTACTAAGGAATAGGAAGCTAAAAATCGAGAAAATACTAGTAAAAGGAGTAGTAAGATTAACTACCTAGATTTTACTACTAGCGATATTAGTAAATAGAGCCTAAAGAAAGAAGTATTAGCTAATATAATCTTTATAACTAAGGATATATTACGAATTACTAAAGATATATATATAGATAACCGTAGAAAAATCTATATAGCCCCTATCTCCGCTAATACGGTAAATTATATTTATATAGATACTATAACGGAAGCGGGATTATAGACTAAAGTATAAACTAGAACTAAGGTCCTAATAGAGACCGAGCTAAGAGGATATACTAAACCTAAAGAACTAATTCGTGGTTTAGAGGACGACCGGTTTAGTTAGAAACGTTACCTTAATAATATCCGTATAACTTTAACCTTAGCTTAGGCGATAGAAATAGCTCTAACCGCTTATACTAAAGTAGGACGGCTACTCCGTAGACCTATAGTTAAGCGTACTAAAAAGGGTAAGGGAAAATAAGTAATACCTTATACTATAGAAGAGCCGTACGATCCGAATAAGCGACGTCGAGTTAAGATTAAGTACTTAAATACTATTAATTTATACGAAGCCTAAGCGGATAACAATAAAGTAGATAATTTAAATAAGAAAGGTACTAACTTAGATAGGCTAATAGATATTAATAGGAACTAAGTCACCTTATTTATAACTATAGGATACCTTTATAGTATAAATATAGATTATAGGATTAGAGTAATAACTCTAAAGAAGATCTTAATTAATAGCGGATCCGAGGGTTATATTATATCTTCGTATATTACGGACTAACTTAAACTCTAGCGAATTTAGATTTTAGGTAGTACTATCGAGATAGCTACTAGAGTAAGAACCCGACTAAAGGAGATAGTATATATAAATATTATCGTCGAAGGATATTCCAGAGTACTTCTATTTATTATTATTAAAGGTAAGCCCTAGTTCTCCTTATTATTAGGATATATATAGATATAGACCGCGAAAATTAAGGGGAATTATAGGAAGAGGAGATATACTATTAAAAGGGATAATAGATAATAAGTTCCTCTAATTAGGTTAGATAAGATCTAATATAGATAGTACTATAAGAGGGAGCTTTTAGATAAGTAAAATTAGCCTTTATAGGTATATAAATAAATTATATTACTTAGGATAGAAGTAGCTTCGGAAAGTAGTAATAATAAAGCCGATAATAAGGCGTCTAATAATAAGGACTTAGAGCTCCTAGTAGATATAGTTTCAAGTAAGATAATAATAGAGTCTATAGAAGAGGATAATACTTCTTAATAAACTAACTCGGAAAACTAAGTACGTCCGCCTTAAGTACCCTAGACTTAGTAGACGGCTATAAGAAAAGTAAACTAGAGTATCGTAATAATATTTTTATAATATAATATAAGAGTAGAGAAGATACTTCGGAATTATTAGTTATAAAACCTATATCCTTATATATACTTATAAATCACTAAATAATTTAATTAAATACTTCGATAATAGTAAGAAGTTATTATTATTATTATTTAGAAGACTAAGAGAGAATCTTATAAGACGAAATTATAGATTACAGATATCTTAGATATCCGACTAAGGAAAGACCTATTTCCTATAAGCGATAACTATATAAAAATAGAGAAATACTAGAGTAAGTAAGGAGTTAGATTAAATTAGTCCTATAACTTATAGGGGATATAATTAAAAAGGACTTAATAGAGTAGGACCTTATAGCGCTAATTCTCTATACTTAGAGAGACCTCTTTATTAAAGATATTAAGGAAATACTATCTACTAAACTAGTATAATATCGAATCCCTATAATTCTAGGAATTATATCTAAGAAGAGTAAGCTATATCTATATATACCGGCTAAGATTAAATAGTAGGAAAAATATATTCTATCTATAATCGAAGTAGGAATTATTATATAATATATATTAGATTAGGATTTAAAGACTCGATAGATATTTAAACTATAACTATCACGGCGCGACCTACTAAGGCGCGGTCGCGGGAGAATTACGTACAGAACGCTAACGAATCTATCCGGGTTATAGCCCTAAGGATATAGGCCCGGCACGTAGGAACTATATATATAATAATCGTAGAAGGGAGGAAGAACTCCGATCTTTAAGATTTAGTCTTTAAATTAGAGCCCCTCTAGACTTCGATCCTCTACCTAGTTAATAGTCCTAGTTACCCTACGATCCTAATTCTAATAATTACTAAATCTTCTTTTTAACTACCTAAAGGAAAGATATCTAATCTACTGACTTACCGGTATTCTACCCGTCTTATAGCCGCTAAATATTCTAAACGCTATACTAAGATATAGAACCTATAAGCTAGTAAGAGTCCGACTCCGCGGATCCCTAAAAGTAAGACTACTCTTCCTATATTTAGTCCTAGATCTTCTATACTAAGAGATTCTAATATACTAGAGTTACTCTAAGCTAGGATTTACTAACTAGAATAAGAGATAATATTTCCGCGATAGAATATAACCGAACTAGAACTCCTAGTTATATCTCGACCTCGACGTAGTATAGAGATTAAGCTTAATTATATCTTCTATTAGTTAAGCTTCTTCTTCTCTCTTGAATAGCGTAACTAGTAGCTTAATAAAATCGAGTATACTCTAAGAAGCGTTATAGAGGCCTTATAACCTCGATCTCCTAATTAGATCTATCTAAAAAATAGAAATCCTCTAATATTTCTAATTAGGTAATATATCCTAACTAGACTACTCTTAGAATATCGTTACGATATAATTAGTCCTCTAACCGGAAGGATTACTTATATATTACTTATTTCTAATATAATAAGAAAGAATACTATATCTCTAGCTATTCTTAAGAATAAAAATCTAGCTAGAATACCTAGATTAATAAAATTATAGAGAAGCTAATCTATCCTCTAGGAAATAATAGTAAGTCGGAGTAGACTCTATACCTCCGACTCCCTAGCCTATTATAGAGATCCTTCCTATAATCTAGATAGCTATATAGATCTAATAAGATATAGTTATAGTTAGCTTTAATACTAGAGCTAGTATTAATATAATTAATCTTAATTTTATAAGGATATATAAGCTTAACTAGGTATCTCTCTATACCCTAGGACTCCGCGACTTTCGGAACTATTCTAGTAATACTAAAGATATATATCGACTCCCGATTTTTACTATAGATAGCTATAGTACTACCTAGATATAGAGTATTAACTATTATATAATTATATAGAAATATAGATCTCCTATACTTCTCGGAATACCTAGATTAAGTACTTAAGAAATTATCCTCGATATAGATATATATTAATAGTACTTTAGGATAAACCGGAAAAACCTCGAGTCACTCTCTTCCTACTAGTTTATAAAATATCTTTATAATAAAGTATATATCTTCGCTATTATCTCCTACTAGATAGTATCTAACTTCGATAAAGATAATTAACCGAGTATACTATCTTCTTATACTATTAAGGATTCCTCCGAAATACTACTAGATCCGGAAGGAATTAAAGCCTAGTCTCCTAAGTTCTAAGACTTTATAGATCTCTATTTAGCCTAGAAGGCTAAGACTCTATTATATTATAAGAAAACTAACTATATAATCGACTTACTTCTAAATAAGTCTCTATCCTATAGACTAATCTATCTATTATTAAGGACTAAGTTAAAAGAATTATAAGAGTATATTCGAGTTAATCTTAAAAATAGAAGGATCTAATCATCTAAAAGTCCTATAGGCGTATCTATTCTTTTTATTCCTAAGAAGGATAGCGGTCTCTATCTCTATATTAACTACTAAGGACTTAACTATATTTTAGTAAAGAATTATTACTTCTTATCTCTTATCGCGGAAATCCTTAATAGACTTATAAGAGCTATAGTCTTCTCTAAAGTTAATATCTATAAAGCTTACTACTATATTAGTATTAAGGAAGATAATAAGTAGAAAATAGCCTTCTATACCCGATATAGCTATTTTAAATATATAGTAATACTATTTAGACTTACGAATATATCTACTATATTCTAAAATTATATCTATATTATACTATAAGAATACTTAGATATCTTTTATATAGTCTACTTAGATAATATCCTAATCTTTTCTTCCGACCGGGATTCCTATATAAAATATATCTATCTTATCCTAGAAAGACTTTATTAGTATAAACTCTATATCTATCTATTAAAGTATATATTTTACTAAGAATATATAGAATTCCTAGGCTATATAGTAAGTTCTATAGAAGTAACAATAAATAAATCTAGAGTAGAAGCTATCTAAAAATAGTCCTAACTAACTACTATCTATAAGATCTAATCCTTCCTTAGATTTTATAACTTCTATCAATACTTTATCTATAACTACTCTAGTATTATAAAACCCCTTACCGATCTTATAAAGGGGATAATAAATAGCTAATAACTAGGAACTTTCGAACTTAAAGTCTATAAAGTAGCTATATTCCGCTAAATAATTCGAGTCTTTAAAATAGCGCTAGTTCTCCGATATTTCGATCCCGACTAGAAAATTAAACTCGAGATAGATATCTTTTAGTAGAGAATAGCTAGTATCCTATCGTAACTAGATAATAAGAGAATCTAGTATCTAATTATATTTTAGTCTTATAAGTTCTCTAATACTAAAAGCTAATATACTACTAGAGATTAAGAACTTTTCGCTATTATATATTCCTTTAAGATATAGCGATACTACTTAGAGGGATCCTAGTACCGAATTAAGATCTTTTCTAACTATAATAACCTATATTTCTTTATATAGAACCCTAAACTATATAGTCGCTAAACGCGATAGTATATAATCATTTTAATATTTAACTTTATTATTTTATACTATATAGGAAAAAAGAATCCTATAGATATATCTTTAAGGATAATAGAGCCTACTTTAAGAGATACTTTAAATACTATTCTATTAAACCTATTATAAGACCGAATAGGAGCCGGGATAGCGATCTATTAGGAAGAGATAGTAGTATAGATAGTACTAGCTAATCTATATAAATTTAAAACTAAATTAATACCTAATCTAGAGATAGATAGAATCCTAGATAGATCTTTAGATATCTAGAGATAAGAGTTAGATCGTATCTAGAGCTTCTACTATAAAATAGTTAAGAATATATATAAAGGCGAAAGTATCTATATTATAATTATATTAGAAGACCTTTATAGTCTTATCTTAGAATCCTAGAGAGATAATCCTAAAATAGGAAAGATTTATAAAATAATTAACTAGAAAATCCTAGAAGTTAGGACCTAATTAGTCGACCCCGATAGTATAGTATACTATAAGAGATAGCTTTATATCCTAATAGATAAAATATTAAAATAAGAATTAGTATATCTATACTATAATAACCTAGTTACGGGTAGATATTTCGGACGAAATTATACTATTAAACTCTTAAATCGGAAGTACTACTAGAGAAAGATCTATAAGTATATCGATAAATATATTAAGTTCTATCTAGTCTACTAAGGAACTATATCTCCTAAATATTAAAAGTATAGAAC